TGCATGTTTCATGTTCTTCCCATTCAGACGCTCGATTACTTTTGAACCAAATTCCACACTGCATTTTTATAACATTGTTGGATTTGACTTCTCATTTGGCAGTGTGTGGAGTCTCCCTGTATACCAGCAACACTTCTTGGCTGAGTATTTTCACAAACACTCCAAGGTGCAATAACTTCATGGTCCAGATTGCACTAATGAGTCCAAACCGATGGCCTCACATTATCCTCAGTGGGCCGTGGTGGGGGGCAGCAAATGGAAAATAGGAGGAGAGCAGTGGGAAACTGTGCAGAGTGAGAACTTCTCAACATCTTGCGGCGGAAGAGAGGGAGGAAAAGAAAAGCAAGTTGCAAAAAAGTGAGAGTGGAGCTGCAGCCGTTCTTTATAATAGGAAATGATGGGAGAGCTGTTCAAGAGCAGCATGGGTTTGACCCCCTGACCACTCCCAGCCGTGAGAAAAGAGTCCCAGGCCATATGTCCTGAAGACCTTCGGATCAGCACACACTTCTGAACTTACACACATACAAACACACACGCACACACTTGGTACTATATATGTCAGCTGAGAAGAAAGAGAGAAAAAAGAGACTAGGACCACAGAGGAAGTTTGAAAATTATCATACCTTTCCACTACTGCACGTGAATATGTGCCAACTATGCAACCTACAAAGAACACACTGGCTGAAAATAAGCTGTATGTTTTGTGAGGACTCCGTGTGTTGTTCCTACACTTCACTACACATATACACACTCAGTTTAAAGCCTTTGTGAGTATAAAAAGTTTAATGAACGCAGTGGTGCCAGCAGTGGGAGTAGAAGAGGTGAGCTGGATGAAAATGCTCACATGCTGAAGAATCTATTTTCTTCAGACTCCCTAGATGGCCTTCTGTGAAAGGTGTGACTCTCACAAGGAAAGACAGCGCAGGAATAACTTCATAAAAAAGCTCTGATGCCCTTGGGCCACTAGGTTGTGGACGGCAGCGGTTCAAAGCTGGACAGCTTCCAGGTGTCAGTTCCAGGTCATAACACCACTTTCCTAAGCCATAGGTCTGGCAGTTTGGAACTCCAACATCAAGTCACGACATGCTACTCAGTCAAGTTTGGTGTGCCAGGTATTGTTATCAGTGTTATCTGCATTTTCTACCACTGAAGGAGATTGGTAACAGATGTGTGTCCCGGGTGACAGGAACACACTTTTCCCTGGAGCTACCACAGTCATCAGTCTTGGAGACTTTGGTTCTTCTATTAGTGAGCATTTTTAGAGGATTAGTGTTTTGCTAGATTCTTGGTGTCTTGGATCTTCTCTAAAGTGGACTCTAAACATTTAATTACTCAGTTTACCTCTGATTTCCACACGACGTACGCCTGTGAGGTGTACGGCTGCGCTTTCTTCTGCAGCCACCGTCGCGGCGAGAACAGATTCCCGGTGCTTCCGGACGCATTGGAACCCCTCACCAGGAACGGTAAATCCCCTGCGGTGTTCCTTTTGGCGCGTTTCACCGTGTCGTAGTCAAAATGAAAGTTGGAGGATGGAGACACGTCCAGTGGAATGGAAGGAGACGAATGAGACGGCGTAATGGGCTCCTTCAGTGTCGGAACTTTGGTGCGTAAAGACGGTTTCACAGCTGCCAAGCGCTCCGGTGACGCACCTGCGTCCGGAGAAAACGGTACTCCAACAAATCCGTCGGTTCCGGTGCCATAGTGTCTGATTAAAGCAGGGTCCAGGCTGCGGGTCTGGCGCAGCCTCCGTTTGGTTATGGCTTTGGAGGCAGGAGAGGAGCAGGAGAAGACGCTGTTGAGAAGTCCTTGCGCAGCAGACATGACTCCCTTGCTTTTTGGATGTGCTGCTCAGTGCGTCTCTGTCCAGCTCCAGCTACAACACAGAAGTTTGGTGTTGTCCCATTTATAGAAGAGTCCGAGTGTCGGTCTCTGAGCAGTGCTGTGCCGCATTGGACTGCGGACGCTGGGCAGTTTGGACAGACGAAACAAGTCGAATACTTTCTCTCCACTGCGTCCTGCGATCATTGCCCAACTGAGGAGAGGTCTGAGGAGACTGTCAGTGTGTGAGAGCATGGGTGTTGGGGGCGGAGTTGGGATAGGGCACAACGCAGCGTGGCCGATGCTGGAAAAGGTTTCCCAAAAAATAAGGTCAATCTAATTTATATATGTGTTCAGTTCCTCTTGAACTTTCAGTAACCCCTGTCAGTATTAAATTGAAAAATGCGTTTTCTATTAGTTGGTCTGCTGCCAGACAGAGACAGGAATGTCATACAGCCAGACGTGATTTGCCTAGGGATGAAAATAGATATAATAATCTCAGCCATCATTAATCCACCTGACTGTCTAGGAATATTAGGCCTGCTGTGTGCTATTATTAGTTAAACAATGTGTGAGCCTGCGGATTAATGGCCAGTTCCTTTCACCATACACACCTGTGTGTGAGGCTATATATTAAACTGTTGTTGATCTCGGTAATTTCACTGTGTTAAGATGGGTTTTGTGATGTGTGCGTGTGTTTAAAGACAGAAAGAAAGAGAGGGGGGTAGAGAGAGAGAGCAGGAACATGTGTGGCCCAGTGTTTGCAGCTATGGGAAAATGAAAAGTGACAGCAGGAGTCTGGAGACTAAGGTGATAGAAGAGCTTATGAAGCTGCAGTGCATGATACTGATACACACATAGCACAAAACACAGCATGGCACGGCACTGATAACAGCTGAGATTGATTTGACTCCTGTGAAAATAGGTGTCTGTGGTAAAAAAGAATGTCTCACGGAAGGTTAAATCACAGAAGGGGTCAAACTTGGGCTCAACTTGCTCAACTTTACTTTTATTGAAAGTAGAGTTAAGGCCCTATATAGTCTTCTTTTATCTTGATGATAGGCCAGAAACAACAGTAAAACCTCTTGAACAGTAGGTTTAGGAGGTAGAAACACTTAAAAATGTATAGGTTCTTGCAGTATTTGCTTTAAAATATAACTTTGATATCGTGTTACTGGGACAGTACATGTGAAACCATGATGATATGACATGAATGTCAAAACACATCAGTCCGATATGGATCGGAATAAATTTAGTAAGGCTACACATGTTCAGTGTTATGTCTGCCTTTTTCTGAGATATTAGAGCTGCAAGCCTGAATGCAGCCACAACTGAAGACGGGGGTTTCCTTTGCCAGAAAGAAATCAAATTACTAGAATGTATACTTTGATTCTCCAATATACTTTACAGTACACGTTTAATAGAAGAAAAATAAATAATTGAAACTCATAATGGGGGAAAAATGCACTGTTAATGGGTTGTATAATGGTGTGCTCATGGAAACATCCTTGTATTTCAGCCTTTATAGTCAACATGTTGTAGAAGTAAAGGATGATTAGATTATTTGGACATGGTAGATTTCCTTATTGTATTCTGCCTTCAGGGAAAACTATGTAAAACAAAATAACATACACTAAATCCCTCTAAAGCTATGTGTATGCTTAACTCTTATGTTACTTGATATGTATGAGCAGTATAATATAATCAAAAGTGTTGCAGTAATTCATTCAATATATTTGTTTGGTTGGTACCAGTCAAAAGGAATAGGTAAATACAACTTTCAGAAAAGTCAAGTCAATTATATAATTATATAATTTATCAGATGCTTTTATCCAAACTTTTATCCATTTTATCCATGCTTTTATCCAAACAGGACATACAAGAGGAAGTAGCAACAGTTATAAAATTAGTACATAAATTAAAATATCTCATAAAACGTTGGGAATCGGGGGAGTGCATATACAGTCAGTGTCATACAAAGTATATAATAACAATACAAATTAAAGCCAAATAAACTTAGATACAGATATAATTCAATAAAAAAGAGTGAGCGCGCATTTCAGCAACAGTGGGGAGAGAAAAAAAATCCTCCAAAAGGGACACACTTCGTGTTTTATAGGTTTATGAGGTATGTTTTTTTTTAAATAATAACAATGAAGTGTTTTTCAACTGATAATCAATGCTGGAAATATTTACTCAATATTATTTGCTGCAAATGGTGAGAATCTTAAATTCTTTGTAAAATCATCCTCAGAGGAAAAATAGTTTCTAAATTAGCAGCCAATTCTTTTGCAAGGCATAGTGCATCCTAATGACCTATGACCCAGAAGGTCCTACAGAGACCAAGTCTTTATTGAACTCTCTTTTTTACCCAATTTTGACAACCAATACCAGTAAATCTAATCAGAAACCTCCCAGATTGTTACCTAAGAGTCAGTGCTTAATTATTAATACTCAGTATTTCCCAACCTATTGTGGAGAATCAATTAGAAAACATTTATGTGTCATTTTCCTAGTGAATGCAGATACATGATACACAACGGAATAAGAAAAAACAAAGATCTAATGATTATTGGATTATTATTAAATTGAATGCCGGATTATCCCATGGTTTTAAAATGTAATCCAAAATTGGGATTGACATAATTTCTGCGATATTTGTGAAAGCATTAGGGTTAAATATATATCTAATCATATACGATCATATAAGTAAAGTTATATGAGTAAACAGCGATTGTAAAATGTTAGTTCGGAAACGTAAAATCAATGACGTCATTTAAAGGTACGTTTCTGTAGTGTTGTCGTTTTTTGTTTTTTACTGACACCTACAGTATGAAAGTATTAATTACACTGGTAGTGTGACGTTGAAAGACAAATTCCGACTTTTTGTGTTGATTTCTGTTTGGTAAAATTTGATCATTAAAGTTTTATATTCGTGTCAAAATGAACTATGAAGAAATTTTATCTAAATGAATTAAAAGTCAGGGTCAATGTCACTCTTTGTAGTAAATGCAGTAAAACGTTAAGTGGAACAAACCACATATTTCAGAATTGATTTCTTTCTAATATTAAATACATGCTTTTCTTGTGGTTTAAATGGTTAAATATAATTAATATTTTATATTAAGTGACTGTCACGCACTGTTTATTTGTATGAAGTACACAGGCGATATGGTAGCCGTGTGAGATCAATTCTGTCTTTCGGTGCTGCCTTCGCCGTTCTACAATCAACGTGTTATAACGTATTTTACAGAGAAAACTAAATAAATTCATATCATAGCGATTTTTTGTGAATACGTGTACGAGCACTTCGAAAAATATAAATGCATTTTTTATTCATTTTTTAGCACCAGTAACCGCGTTTAGAACAAAGGAAACAGGTGGAATTTCCGCGATGTTCGTAAAGGCATCAGCTCCACTCCTGCTGTTTTAGTTAAAGACTCTTTCGGGTCCCTTTTTAAACGAGAAAATGGAAAAGAAAGTGTTAAGGGTTTTATAGGGTCCTCCTAGTTGATGCACCCTTTCACGCACGTCGCCATGAACAAATGAATTCGCGGGGAATAAAATATCGGTTTCACAAAGGAGAAAGAGTTCTGTGCTTCGAACCAGACCCAACCAAGGCTAAAGTGTTGTACGACGCTAAGGTAACATGATATGCTTGAGCTGCATCTCACAGGAGCTAGTTCGAGTTTGAAGCGCTTCTGTATAACAAGAAGGTGGAAAGCATGGCAGCATTGAATGTTGGGGTGCATACAATTTATCACATGTCTTAGTATGCATCTGCAGCCTCGCGCTCAGTTTTTGTTGGGACATTCCCGGGTTAGCAGGTTTATTGCTAACGTACCCAACTGTACCCAAAACCATACCCAAACCATTAAAAACACAAGTGTTGAAACATAAATGAGCTTCTCACTCCACACATAACCCACTTTCGTACACCAATTGCTATTATGAGCATCTTGTCAGGATGTGACATATAGTTAGTGAAAAACACTGCATTGGTAATTTGTTTAGCAGTTAGCTGCTAACTAGCTCACAAATGCTAACCCGGTATATTTTCTGCAAACACCGACATGTATTTTTTTACACTAAAAGCAAATGTTATAGTTAACGTACAGACGTAACGCGTGTAAATTACGGATGAATAATTAGTAGTAAGTCCCATCTATCATTATTCACTTGTCCGAATATTGACCGCAAAAGAGTCAAATGGGACATAATGTCTTTCTTACATTTCAGGTCCTTGATCTCATAGTAGGTACAGATGAACATGGAAGAAGAATCCCAAAGTACCTGATTCATTTTAATGGTTGGAACAGAAGGTAATGTTCAACTGAGTTTTTTGTTCTTTTATACCTGGGAGAGCGTTACATGTTTATTTACATGTAATATCTTCATTATTTTATTTACTTTGTACAGCTGGGATCGTTGGGCTGCAGATGATCATGTCCTAAGAGACACGGAGGAAAACCGTACATTGCAACGTAAATTGGCTCGCAAAGCTCTCGATCGCATGTAAGATGATGATCGATGGCCATATTTATTCAATCATTTTTCCCATGTTGAAATGGCAAGTATGATGTAAAAGCTGCATATTCTGTCTGTCCCTTTATGGTAGGAAGAAAAAAGGATGGTCAAAGAGGCGTCGTCGTCAGTCTGGCTCTAAAACCTCTCTGAAGACTCTCCCCAAAGAGGATGAGAGTGATGACGCATGTGAGAAATCGCTCTGTCTGCCTTTTTGCTCCTGCTGTCTACTGCAGTCAAATACTTTATGTATTATTTTATGCTATGTTTATATCTCCAGGCTTGATTTCATCATCAGACAGCAGTGACGGGGACGATTCTGACCCTGAATCTTCAAACAGTGGGGATAGTGCCTTCTCTGAAGACACTAACAAAATGGTGGAGTCTACCTTAAACCCCTTTCTTATACTTAAAAAAATATATACATGTAAAATAAAGTCTGATTAACCCAAACATGATAAGTTAACAGTTTACATCCAACTTTTTCCCAGAAGGTTGAACCAGACAGTAACATCAAGAGGGAAAGCGAGGAGAAACTGGTCCACATTGACATCAACATCCCAGATGTTCTTAAAAAGAAACTGGAGGATGACTGTTTCTACATCAACAAGAGGAAGAAGGTGTGTACACAACATCTAAAGCTAAAACTACACATTGTTTGCATTTGTGTAATCTAAAACGTACCACAAATCAGGGTGTTGTCTTAATAAATACATTGAAACCGCATGTCTTTTCTCCTTCCAGCTAGTGATGGTTCCCTGTCAGATGAATGTGGTGCACATCCTGGAATCCTACGTCAAACACTTTGCCATCAACAAGGCTTTCATGGCCAATGAGCGGTACCGTCGGCAGCAGAACACCACACAGAGCAGCAGTCCTCAGGCCATCCCACCGGAGAAGAGGTGACAAATTTGTCCTCTTTTCAACCTGCAATAATATTTTTCATTTTTTACTTAACCTCTTTTATTAATGTTTAATTTTCTTGTAATGAAGCGAGGAGCTGTGTAAGGAAATGGTGGATGGCCTGAGGATCACGTTTGACTTCACCTTACCCATGATTCTCCTTTATCCTTGTGAACAAGCGCAGTTTAAGAAGGTCAGCTCCACCAGGCTCTTCTTGGCGATGAATGACACCTCTCCATGCTCCAGCAGGTATGACTGCCTAAAACAAATGCACACACAATTTCTTATTGCAGTTTTGCTCTTAACTTTAGCTGTTTGATTTAAAATGTTTTTGTCTCTATAGCGCTCAGAGAGACCGCAGCCCAAGTCCGCTGGGGCACAACCCTCCAACTCCTCAGTCCACTGACAGCCAACCAGCACTCAGCGACATCTCTACCACTACCACACCTACTGCCCCAGCTCCTACCCCAAAGCGGCGCCGCCACCCTGACATGGACTGCATCTCATACCAGTCCCAGTCTCAGTCTCAGTCGCTAAGACGTTCCACGAGGAACACATCAGGAAGTGACCGCCCAGCTGAAGGCAGCAGTGGAGGTCATTGCCTTTTTACAGGAACTGATGTATTTTAGTTAAAATCTCTGTGGTGTGTTTTTTACTAAGATCTTGTAATAATTCAGGTGGAGGGAGTGCCACAGCATCACCACAACTCAAACGCAGAGTGGTCGACACCTCATCTCAGCCAAAGTTTTTTCTCAACCTAGACAGAAGTAAGCAGAGAAAATACTTGTTTCTCCTATACCAATTGTTTTTGCCTAGTTTATGAGGTTTTCCAACCAGATTCAATATTTTTGTAATTATCAGTTTTGGCCAGTAGATGGAGACAGTCGATCATTTTTATCCCCATTGAGCTTCTCTTAATAGACACTAGATCAGTGTTCTCTAACTCATGGTACGTATTTTACTTTAGGAAAATCCCACGCCAACCAGCAAATAAAATTAATCCTAAACAAAAACTATAACAAAATAGTTTTTATAGCCATGTGCTGTCACCTAGTGAAAGAGTACTTAATTGTTTTGCCTGGCAATTCAGTGAAGCAGAGAATAGTGTTATTAGAGTAAAAGTACATGTATTTAAGTCTTTGGTTTGTCTCAATTTATCATTTATTTCCCTTCTATTAATTTTTACCCAGAAACCCCAGTGCACAGTGGGTCATCTTCTCCACTGCCTTTGACACCAAGCAAGGAGAGGAGTGGCCTCTTCTATGGACTGGAGAGTCGCAGGAACAATGAGCTCAATGAGGTGGAGGACTTTTCAGTAGGATGAACATATATTGGAATACCTTAAAGGGTTTTCTTGTTTTTTTCTAGTAATAACAGAGTGAATTGGTCTGCCTTCATATCAACCAGGTTCTAAGTTGGAAACTGACTCCTGATAACTACCCTCTGAATGACCAGCCTCCTCCACCATCCTATCTGTACGGATCCCAGCACCTCCTCCGTCTTTTTGGTTGGTGATAGATTTTTTTTTTCCATTCTTTGTATGTCTGGCTGATGCTTTTGCTATTTATAATGTATAACTCATCTTTTACCAACTCTTTTTACAGTGAAGCTTCCTGAGATCCTGGGGAAGATGCAGATTCCTGACAGGAACCTCCGAGCTCTTGTTAAACATTTGGAACTCTTTCTCAGGTAACTGACCATAATGAATATAAATGATCATAAATATTTTAGTGCAATGCTATCTATGAGGAGATTACTGCCAAAAAAGTTTGTCTCAACTTTAGCAGAAAATATCTTCTAGCTGAGGGAATTAGTGAAAGAAAATGCACGAACAAGAAAATCCATTGCATCAGTTTGATTACCACATGGATATAAACACGGCAATGGAGGAAAAAAAAAACTAAATAAGAAGCCAGTGGTTGGACAAAATAAGAATCTGAAAATACTCTGTATTACAAATCCACTTGGGGGTTTTAGGCTGTCCTTTTTTAAATCAAAGTAAGACGTGCAGTCCGAGCAACATTTAAATGCAGCGTACAAGAACAGGAAGAATGAATGAATAACACATTGGTGGCCATTGCTCCTCGGATGATCTAAGTACAGGAAAGTAGTGGTTAGCGCTCGGTGCCAAAATGTTTCAAAGTGAATAGTGGCTACGCTGTGGTTGAGATGAATAAAATGGAATAGTGAATTAGGAGATGTATGTCTCCCATACAAAAATTAATTTAGTACGATGTCGGATGCAGCATGTTCCCGGAAATAAACTGAAGCGTTGAGCATATTTTGAGGAAGATCTTCATTTATTACTTTTATATTTATTTTTAAACTTTGAAGTCAGCCTGATTGATGCCACTGAGCCCAAAGTGCACAGCATTCTGGGATTCGGACACTTGATCCTATCTGTACCTTTCTTGGCAAAATGAATATGATTATGCACGGTCCGTGTGGACATTTGTTTGCATGAATATACACACATGTTGTGCTGCCTTGAAATGCCACATGAGTTTTGCCGAAGATGGCGTTAAACTAGATTTTCCAATTATTGAACATGGAATACTTCAAAATCTTTGGCCTCACTTGGTCACTGGCCTTTTCAGTTTTTTAATCATCTCTCAGTTTCCTCCACATATGTTCCATGTTTGTTGTCCCTGTTAAGGCTGTCTTCCCTCTTTAAAGTCTTAAGTTTTCCTCTGATCAGGATAATTTGTTTGTACTGAGATTAAAAGAACCGGTGGAGATAAGATGAGATGGCAAGATTTAGAGGATTTGGCCCAGTGGTGGATACTAAGAAGATTCCAGATTAGTTTTCCCTGCTCGTGATTAGACAGGAGGAAGAGGAGTGATTGGGTTTTTTTTTTTCTTGTTCTTCTTCCATGCTCTGACTGATAGTTCCTCTTCTTTATTGGTACACGGATGAGAAGGCTTTATCTTTGACATGTATATCTCCAAATGCAGAGGCCAAAGGGCCTTGGACTTATGTGGAATGAGGCTGGGAAATCGAGGAAAATCAGAAATGGACCAGATGACGAGAGTTTACGGTTGTTGTATGTTGCGTTTGTGTAAGCCCTGATGATTTACTGCTGTTCTCAGCCCATGTAGAACATTTCACGTGAACACAACAGGGTTGAAAACCAGATCTTCTGCTTTTTTTCTCCTTCATCCTCTCCCTGCCTTCTTCCTCCTTAGGTTTCTGGCAGAATTCCATGAGGATTTTTTCCCTGAGTCAGCATATGTGTCAGCGTCTGAGGCCCATTACAGCATGAAACAGCCAAGGCCTGTTTACTAAGGAGGATGTCGGCTGCAATGTTGTCTCTTTTTAATCAAACAATTCCTTGACATTATGACCTGGTTGGACTTGTGTGCAGAGAGATGTTAGTAGTTTTCCTTGGAGCTGGACTGGACTGAGCTTTTTTTTTTTTTTTCCTCCTGTATCTCAATTTCCTCTCTGGCACTAACATTATTTTTCCTTCATTTTTGTACAACTACCTGCAGTACTTTGTGTAGATTTCCACTCACATTAGAGCACAAGAGGCTTTTCTGCTGGAGTAGAATTAGGTGCTATTAAGCTTTTTTTTTTAATGAAACTTAGTTGCAGCAAAATAGCTGATGATTGTAAAGTTTTTAAAAATATAAACATCATCAGCGTTGCCACACAAACAATTCTTTTTGGTTTCTAAGTCAAATATAGACTTCAAATTGACTTCTAACTGCAGTGTTTGTTGAATTAACATGAGGTATTTTCTCTCCAGTAATGCTTGCACGTTCTTTTGTCCATGTTTGCGAGAAGCAATGCACACAATTGTCACAAAAAAGGAATACGGAATTGCTAGAATGCTAGCTGCTGAACTGAATTTCTTCTTTATCTTTTAGCTATCAGCTACTTTTGAGCCTTTCTTACTTCCTTTTGATCATCTTGACATTTGTTTCGTCTTCAGCTTGAACTTTCTTCTGCCTGTCCCACGTTAGAAGATTTCAGATCAGTCAGGTTACCTGTAGTGATAAGACACTGTAAATACAAATTAGCTTTGCACAGGCATATTTTTTTATATTTATTGTAAGACAAGCTTCTGTCAATGTTCTGTCCTGAAATAGTCTGTGATGCACAAGCCTTGTAGATACAATGTCATGTAGGTGTAGCATTTCTGTTTGATTGTGTACATTTTTCAGCTGTATTTTTTTATTTCATTTCTTTGTTAAAAAACAAAAACTTCCTCAATTATTAAATAAATGTCTGTCTTTACAACGTGTGTTTTCATTTCAATGTTAAACTCTCCCATCCAACCAAATCAAGCACATTACGTGTTTTTTTGTTTTGTTTGTTTCACTCCCCCAAAAATGTTCAGTGTGAAATCAAACCAAGCTAATTCGTATAAAAATACTCTCACGCCTGTGACATCATTTAAATAGAAATAATGAAAAGTGTCAGGAACAAAGCCAACAAAGTGACAGGACAGATGAAGCACCAACCAGATGGCGTCAGTGTTCGACAAGTTGAAATCACTGCTCTGTCTGGCAGTTGACTTGACCAGCATTAATCAAAACAGACGGGGACAAGTTTTTGGCTTTTCTTTTCCCGCTTTTCTTTTCACACTGGAATCCATAAAATGTTTTGGGCTGATTTTGTTATTCTTAATTTCACTAGGGCTCTAATGGAAAAAAGAAATTCTAGGAACTTTAATTCTTTTAGGGTCACAGCATTGTCATGTGTATTTAAAAGTTGACTCAACCTGAGCATTGAGTTCATGTCTATTACCTTCATCTTTATACGCTGGTTATGGGAAGGTCATGCACATTCAGCAGATGTTTCTAACCTTTCTCCTTCACGCACAGCAAGTCCCATAAATCTGTAAACGTTTTGGAAACACGATTGTTGATTCAATAGCAGGTGCTGCTGCTGTAGATAATCTGATGTGAGAGACCACAAGTCAGTTTAAAGCATGCTACCATAGCATCTGGTATGAGGTCATTCTACACCCGACTCCTGGCATTTTGCGGTGAAGAGAGGACTATGAATTATTTTAGGGCATTCCTAGTTATTGGCCCATGTTTTTTGGCTCTGTGATGTGCTGGCCCTTCTCCCAGTGTCATCTGGGATTGGCTCCAACATTGCTGCAACTCTATAGTACTGTATACCAAGCTATATGGATGATGGATATCAGTTGTCAACCTGCAGATAGTTCATTGTAACTGCTAAAAAATACAGTGTGTGCTAGCCACCAGCTCCTTATCTGTGACAGGAACTTCTATCTGATTGATTACATTGACATGATAACCACCTCACATATAACACTTAGGGTATATGTATATATATATATATACAGTATATATATATAAGGATATACATATACTCTATCTTCACTGTCGGACAGAGCTGTTCCGATAAGAGTCTTCATCAACATGCTTCCCCCATATCAGGGCTCTAATAGGTTTTTAGTGGTAATCCGTAATATCATTTGCACTGGCACAGACGTCTTGTAATGAACTGCTCATTGGTGCAACCTAAGATGGCACTCTCCTACTTGCAGCTATCATGTAGCTACAGAAGCCACCAGTTCTGGCCTCTCCATTCATCTCAAATCGATTTTTTATCCCACCCTGCATCGTCTCTATCCAGTTACCGCATGATTCAATCATTGGGGGGAGGGAGGGGGTAAAATGGGCTGTAATGATGTGAGCTACCACATCCTAAGTGATGCTGCTCACACCTTTACTTGATTTCTGCTCTTATTCTGTTGGTGCAGCCCTCCATCTGCTCTGGCTGCTCTATCTCTATGTCAGAGTGGTTTTGGTTTCCTGCACTTTTATCTTTGTCAAAGTCTTGTTTCTTGTTTCCGATGGGTCAGTTATCGGTCCTCTCCTGTGTCTCTTTTCTCGGCACTTCACAGTGAAGGAGGAAGAAGAGTAAAGAGCTTTCAGAGCAGAAACGAAGAGTGCAGATACATTTCTTTTTCTATATTTTTGGGTTCTCTTTTAGTCTTTCACTCGTTTATCTCTTTCCCATATTTATTTTACTTTATTGATTGTTTTAACCACATCTCTATCTTCTTGCCTGTTTTTAGCTTCCATCAACAATGTCCCTATTTTCTGTCCTAACGTCAATCATCATGGACCTCAGAGATGGATTTCAGGAGGTGAAGTTTGACTCCAGCCCCTCCATCTCCACCGATTCTTCTTTGACGTCCTTTGACTTGAGCACTGACCTCACGTCAGTCAGCTCAGACCAAGGTGTGACTCCGCTGACGGTCCAGAACATCTGCAAACTGCTGGAGGAGCAGCTCTCTGTCATGCCTACTTCAGCAGAGAGGACCAGGAAGGTTCTGTGGTGGGAGACGTCGTTCCTGGGAAATGATGAGTGAGTACGATTTGTTTTTTACCTATACACTGGGAAAAATGTGGAGAAAATGACAGTTTCTTTCTTAATCAAATCAAGGTTTGAGTTTAATGTGCAACAACTTTAATTACTGGGTGTTTATGTTGTTCTGTCCTGTATAGATGGACAGTGTTTAATAACAATAATAATTTTAATAATGAAACACAAACACAAATTCATAGTAAAGCAGCATGCACAATAATATAATGTATTACAGTAAAATGTTCTACAACTCGTTTATTTCAAAATGGGTTTAAGTCTGAGTTGTTGTTTTTCGTGCTCAGTCCTCATGAGGGGGGATGTTTGGTTTAATTTGCTACAGTGAAGTGTCCATGGAAGAAGGGTGTCGATGTGGTTTTAGCAGCAAAGATTTATGACGTTTTGGAATTTGATGCAGACTGGAAGTGACCTTGGCCTTAGTCTGGGATATTATCATGGAAAAAAGAGCATGATGGATCCTTTAAAGACACTGGAACCAGTGATTATTGGACAAGGCTGTGTGTAAAATTACATCAAAGATGTTAGCAGTGGAGGTCAAATATTCAGGCAGGAATATTCAGTTGTTTTTTTCTGTCATCTCTGCATGGTGTATCATACAGTAATCTATAAAAAGGATAGAGAACTAGTCAATCAAATTTAGGATGGGAGTGAATTCCAGCAGTATCTGAAACTGAAGAGAAAACCCTGAGATGTTGATTTTTACTCAGAATGCTAATGACTATCTATGTGTTTCTCTGACTCCTCATAGCAGCGTGTGCTAAAGGATGAAAAATGTCTAACGTTAGTTTATATCCACACCACAAATCATCCTTTTATTCCCTAAAATTCTTCAGAGATGCTTGGAGTGACTCTGTGATTTTCCAATTTTATGCCTTTATAGACTGTATATGATTTCACTTCAGCAAGATAAAAGACTGGAAGTGTTTACTGGCAGACACTCACTGCCAGAGTTCTCTTTGAAATGTACCTTTAAAAATGTCCCTTTTAAAAATCTCAAACTGCAAAAACGTGACTAAGGAATAATTCAGAGATGGGACTTTTTAAAAAATATATTTTTATTTGGCTTTAGGGCTTTTAGTTTTTTGTTTGATTTTTTTTGTTTGTTTGTTTGTTTGTTTCAAATGAAATAGTTTAATGTATTTGAAACTGGATACCAAAAAGAGCAACCTCTAAAATATAAACTAACCCTAATCAGGTCATATTTATTTTTATTACATAAATTGTGACATACTTTTTTAACAAACGCAGCAAAAAGAAATTTCTGCCTTAGTTAGACTCAGGCTAACTTTGCACTCCACTAAAATATATAAAGCCTGAGTGTTATACATCACACAGATATATTTTAATACAGTTTGTTCCTTTATCCCTGGTATATTTTTGCACACTTCGTTCTCCATTAGAACTGCTGAGCTTATATCACTTTGCCTGTAACCTGCCTGTGCTTATTTTTTTCTTCTTTGCCTTTTTGGCAACTCAACTCCAAAGCCCAGGAGGTTGTTTCAGCAACTGTTAGTAATTATTTTTGTTCCTTTTGGCTCCTGGATGCCTGAAAATTAGGACACAGTCATGGCGAGCGGTGCAGACGGATGGAACACTGAGTCATGAGATAGGATCAAAGTACTCTCCATCATCATTTCCACATAAAGAAAGGATCATTTTTGTACGCAGTTACCCATGCAGGAGAGTGCTCTAATTAATCTGTACTGAACTTCATCAAAATCTATTTTAATTTTACACCTTATTTTTAATGCACGAATAATTACACTGTTATCCTCCTGCTTCGGGGGAACCATAGATTCTTGTAGTTCATTTTGTGTTTTTTTCCCCCAGTGTCTCCACAGGCAGCTGTGTGAGAGACAGACACAGTTTCACAATTGGGTAAAATTGCTCTGATCAGATTCCTTACCACATATTTTGCAGTAGTAGCTACTGTTTTCCACTTGAAGAGTTTGATATAAGATATGTGCATGGATTTAAAGATGAGCTTTGCACAGAAGCTAATCAGCGCCTTGAGCTGCAGCAGTTCACACTGCTTTAACCAAGCAGTAAATAGTGTGGGGATACATCAGTCAGTGGTGAAATGAATACAGACAATGTTATGGTCTGGGGCCACATTAATCAAGTACTTTTTAGCCACACACATTTTGATTTGATATTAAAATGTTTTTGGTGTCCATACAAACCAACCATATTATAGTAAAACATTATGTAAACTTACAGTAGCTTTGCTTCAATTTAGTCCAACATGGACACAAAAATAAGGGGAATTTTGATGATCTGGTCACATTAGATTATAATGTGGTAACTCAACACCAATAAATAAATAAATAAATAAAATTCATATTTTACTTACAGAATGGCGACAAATTGATACTATTCAAGCAATTTCACTTAATGTAGATCATCATTTTTAAAAATATTTACATTAGTCTGTAAGGTATTTTATATTATAAGTGAAAAACAAACGTTGCAGCAGAGCTTCTTTAAAAATGTGCTAAAGGCCTCATGGTGAGATAGAAGAAGAAAACATGCTAAAGAAATTGTATACGATTCACTTTATTGTGTTTTGTTTCCAGAACACTGATCCATGGTCCAGTTTATATTACACATACGTTACACGAGTCCAGCGATGCTTCCAAAATGGGTTATTTAGGTGTAAAAAAAAGTTGACCTTTAAGAGGTGATTAACATTTACAGATGGACAGATGGAGATGAATTATGCAACAGATTTGAATGTAGTTTTAAAAGAGTTTTTTTTATGGGCAATCTCTGGATTTGACTCACCAGTGTCTCATTTACTTCTTGCTGACCTTTCCAAATGTTGCTTTTAGCTAAAGTGTGCAGCTTGACCTTTGAAATAGCGAGTGCTAATTTACTAATACATGTGTGACCACCATCTTTTTCTTCAACACATCATGTAAGGCAGGTAACACGATGAATTCTTTGTTTTGGTTTTTAAACCAATCTATTTTTTATTTTATTTTTTATTATCCCGAAAATAAAACGAGACAAACCCCCATTGTTTTGGCTGCAGTAGATAGTTTTGGCCTAGACTCAGCACCAGCTGGCCTCTCGGTGGGTTGACCAATCGAACTCCTCTCCCCCGAAGTAGAACAACACATATATTAATAACAAATACAAAAAGAGTTTAAATCTCCGTTGACTCTCTAAAGGGCCGATCAAAATGTCTCGAATTATCCATTTCCTTCTCGCAACACATGGAAACAGCTGTCGCACAGAGAAATCAAATCCAGCTGTCACAGAGTGATGAATTTAACCACAGAGGATGACTTCAGAGGGCGTCAAAGCGTGCAGTCATAAATCTGTGGAACTGGAGAACCCACTCTTTATCTTGAAGTGGATTCTTCTCGACATCTTAAGCAGCTCAGATTAGTGGGATTCTGGTGTCACTTGTATTGTCACGGAAAACGCAGCCACTTCTGCGTTGAAGGGAGAAGTGGCCACAGCCTTTAGAGCCATTTGTCTGGTGTTAGTCAGTTTTTTTTCTTGTGTTGAAACTAAGTTTAAACTCGACGACTGCTCAGCAGCACATTGGTGGTAAATGAAGACATTGTAAAGTCTAGAGCTTGATGGTTTCCCAGACTTGGGATTGGGAATCGCATTTTTTGAACCTTTTATAACTGCTTATCTCTGTAAGAGTGGATCTCAAAATTCTAGATGCAGGTACAAAAACACCTGTACTCTTCACGGAAGGATAGATATATGTTATTCATGTCCGATACCAATACTGATACTACAGCTTGGAGAATCTGCTGATACTGATATCAATCCGATACCTTCTTTTCTCCTCCACTGTGCCGTGGTCTGCTGTTGCTGAGGCGATAGTGTCCCTCTCTACGACATGTTGCACAAAGTTCTTGTCTTAGGTATTGGATCAGACGGGCTACAGTCGATGTCTATGTTCAATCCTGATATTTTGACCCATATCGGACCACTTCCATTCCTGAGCCATACCTAGTCCTCATACTGTACCTCAGTGGTCCCAACCTGCTTCCATTTTCGCTGCGTGTTTCTGGGCAACTGAGAAAATCCTGTCCAGTTTTGTGTTTTGTAGTTGTCGCTGCAGTTCCACAGGTCAGTCAGTCAATTATTGTAACAAAAAAAAACATACAACAGGTTGTGTTTACCTCCCATGCTCTTAATTTCACAAGGCAGCAGCTGGAATGGTGTGTCCAGATTGTTCTGACCAAGGTAATGGCAATCCCTGCAGTGAAACTGAATCTCACTGACACGTGATTAGTTACACATTTAAAGTTACATTTTAGATTATTTTTATGCATGGTATGAAATGAAAAACAAGAAGAAAATGGTAAATAGTGATGAAAGAAGGCTGAGTTTCCTATAGTTCAACATTGCGCAGCTCTGATACTGGAAGGACGTGTTCACAAACTCCAATATGTTTAGTCGGATCTGAATATTTTTTATTTGTTTTGTTTTATGTTTGTATGTATATTTCTTTTGTATTATCCCACACACAGTGAGTCTATAAAGCTCTGCTGCTGCTGCTGCTGCTGCTGCTGCTGCTGCTGCTGCTGCTAATGCTAATACTGCTGCTCCAACCACAGTTGACCTCTGTCCACGCACACAGCCTCACACTCATTGATTGTCACATTTGACTGTATACCATACATGCATGAGATTACTAGTTTGATTACCATGCATGCCATTGTGTGTGTATGCGTGTGTGTCTGTGGGTGTGTGTGGTGCCCTGGACCATATATAACTTCACACATATTGTAATCACTCTGACAAAGACACTGGGAGGAGGTTTTTAGCACCCTGCCCTGCACTCCCACAGCATCAGACTCTGAACATGCGTGTGTGTCAGCCAGTATCTGTATGTGTGTGTGTGTGTGTGTGTGTTTGTGTTTGTCTGTGTGAGAATAGAGTTTATCCCCTTCAGCCCAGATGCCCCGGCTAAATCCATCACTACTGTTGCTGCACAGTGGCGCTAAGCTGAA